ATCACCGCAAAAGTCCATACTGAAAGTCCGAACCCAATGAGCCTAAATGGGTTAAAGCTGCAAAAGAAAAGGTACATAAGAATGGTTTAGAGAAAATGGAATCATCATGACAACTCAAAACTTGTATGTTCAAATGATTACAACAAAGACATTAATGCAAAAGAACAGACTCAAGTTTCATTGCTCAATCAAATCCAGGAAGATTATGACGTAGCATAGGGCACAAAAATCCTTTTCTTTTTGAAAATAATCCCACATGACAAATTTTATTTATCCCAAAATGAATTTCACAAACTTATGGATGCTCTGCTAAATTTACTGTCCTAAGCATTCAGAGAATAAATCAATTGCTTTGCTCGAAATGTAGTTGCAGCTCACACTTTGGAATATTAAAGAGCTACTATTTCTAACAGGGCAACCTACAACTTCGCCTAAAGCAAGAAATAGTAATTTAAAAAAGTAAGCATTGCAGAAGATGCACAAGAGAGGAAACCTTGGGCAAATTACAATGTTAGTCTATATTCTTCTGAAAAGACATTTTGAACTACCACTTTCCCCTTCAAGTTCCCTTAACTTTTCTCTATGCCGTGTGATTTATCCGATGTATTGCTTTATCATTGACGCTCTATTTAGTCTAAGAATTACATCAATTTACCACGTGATGTAGTTTTACTTTAACCCACTACTTTCATGCTTTCCCGATGACCAAAACTATAGCAGAAGTTTATTACCTCTTCGCTAATGTTGCAAATACAGGAGAAGAAATGAGAAGTCCAACCATGAATGCAGATGATAGAACTCCATCTTCAAAATTACTTAAGTCGAAGTCACCCCTGCATACGAAAAGGAACTTGAGCATTCTCAATGCAAAAAACAGAAAAAGAAAACCACACATAGCAACGGGCGAAAAATTTATACTGCTTCATGAAGCCACATGGACAATGTTGACAGATAAATGAGTAGACAGAATTACAGCAGCGAGTTCTCTGGGGATCCGTGATATAAGTTTCCCCTTTTTGTGTAACAAAGAATACAAAAAGGGGAAACTCGCACATATACATGCATATACAGAGCATTACATGCTATCATTCACTGGGATAAATCTAGCCAAAATAGACATCTGAAAATTTGAGGAAAATGTACCAAACACAAGTGTCAACCAAAATGAGAAAGCAAGATATCAATTCTTTGAAATTGCTGGAGATGTTTGACCAAAAAAAAAAAATTGCTGGAGATGAACCAACTAAATGAAGGAAATGATATCTTATATCAGGAGCAATATATTTTTCGGCACTCGTGTGTGAAAAGAAAGCTTCTGACAGCCTTACTGTATTCCACTACCGGAAGTGCATGTGCCACTTTCTGTGCACGTTCTGCTGCTTCCATTAACACCGTTGCTTGCTATGGTTCCACGGTCAATGTAGGTGAGCATGTTAATTATGCAGAACATGGTAAGCAATCTGCAAATTCATATAGGGAAGATTTTTAGCAAGTAGTTGTTTCAACAACATAACATTAATCACTTTGAGAAATACATATTTTCCTTCTACGTCCACTGTTTGTCCTCCTGCACCTATCAGTGATCGGGCATCATATATGTAATTAGGAACAGCTATATTAACTTGCTTTGCCTCCACCTAGTCATAGTCCTCAAATTGGCTATCCAGAGCTTTGCTACGGGCATTTTTTCAGCATCCAGATTATCTATGATAAAGCCTCAAAGTTTAAACTCTAGAAATCAATACACGGTTTTCTAAATGAGCAGTCTTCTCCAAATGAAACATCTTCGGGCAATGCAAGCCCTGCCACTTCAGAGGATACTTGGAGTATGATGCACTTTTTTATGTATCTCAAATATGTACTTCTTTTAGGAAAAAGAGCAGACAAGCAAACTAAACGAGCGAGATACTACAGAGAAACTACAGCTGTTTTATTTTAAAGCTTCGGAATTCGCCTGCAGAAAGCAACAAGGTTTCAACAGACTAGCCGAGGTCGCGACTTTGCAGAACCAGCCATCACACACAATCACCACAGCATGCCCGCTAGAACTCGGCTTCTACCAAAGAACACGGTACACGAAAAAATCACCACAGCGTGATGATTCTCCACCCTCGCCGTCTCCCCCAACACCCCGCGAGACCCTCAAACTCTCGAAGCCACGGCTAATCCGGCCATGCTCACCCCCCCGCCCCCCCACAGAGCAACAGAACCAGAACGAAGGACCAGAATTCCGCCGGCAAGTTCGCATCTCTTTTCCTTACGGATTCAGCCTCGGGGTCATCTCGAGGCCCCTAAGGTTCCAATTCCAAACTACTTCCCCCAGACCCCCCAGGCAACGCACTACGCGCGGCGAACACGCAACCCGAAGTTCCGATCCAGCAATCCGCAATAAACAGCTACCGAAAGAGCCACGGAAACAAAAGGGAGGAGCGATCAGGAATCGGGGAGTACATTTTCGGCGAGAACCACGAAGGGTTCGGGGCAGCGAGCGAGACTGATGAAACCCCCGCCATGCCTCCCTCTCCCTCTCCCTCCCTCTCTCTCTCTCTCTCTCTCTCTCTCTGTCTCTCTCTCTCTCTCTGTCTAGACCTCGAGCGAGGTTGTTCGTTTGTTCGTTCCCTGCCGCAGAGCTCAAGGAGCTGATCGGCGGCGGCTGCGGCGGCTGCTGCTACCGGAACTTTCGAGCTCCCTCCTCGGCTGAGAATTCCGATGGAGAAGATGCGACTGAGAAGTCGTCGGCGGTTTGGCGTCCTGCAATGGTGGAATGGTAGTTGACGGAGGGAGGAAGAGGAGGCAGGAAGGAAACGTAGGCAGGGAGGGACCAACCAAGAAGCAAGGAAAGAAAAGAAAAGAATTGTGACGTCATCAAAAAACGAATGAATAAAATAAATGAAAGTTGGAGGAAATGAGTATATCGAATATTCCCTCCACGGGGCTGGCCGTTATCCTCAGATTCTGGTTGCCTCTTTCGGGTTCAAAAATGCTAGAGGATTTGTCGTCACGTTTTAGGGGGAAAATTTAAAATAAAAGCTTGAAGTGCACTTACTTCTTTAAATACGTATTTAAAGTAAATCTTATTTCAAATGAGGTTTCGAAGTATCATTATTTTTTCAAAGAAATGGCATGACCTTATTTTCTTCCTTTTATTTTCTATTTTTATTTTCCTTTTTTTTTTCTTTTTTTTTCCCCTCTGTCGCCGAATGGCCGGCGAGGGCTGGCTAGGGCCCCGGCGACCCTCGCCAGCCACTGGGCGAGGGCTCGGTCGATCGCCGGCGATAGTCGCCCTAGGCGCTCGCCGGCCGTAGGCGAGGGCCACGAGCCTCACCAGCTACTGGCCGAGCCCTCGCCCAGTGGCTGGCGAGGGTCGCCAGGCCCTCGTCGGCCGGCAATGGAGGAAAAAAGAAAGAAATGGTAAAAATGAAAATGGGAAAGAAGAAAAGAAAAAAGGAAAATAAAAAGAATAGCACTTCAGGTCCTTATTTGACACAAAATCCACTTCAAGCCCTTATTTTGAGGATACTTCAGGCCTTTATTTGGAATTTTCCCCGTTATACGCACCCACATACATGTTTGATCGTAGAAAAGAGGGATCCTACCATTTCTATAAAAAGCAAATAGAGCAGAATGCTTGATCGTAAATTGTAATTATCCGCACATCGGCACTAATTTTAAATATCCGCGCACGCGGAGGCAAGTCTAGCGGCAGTTGCAGCCCTACTCGCGACGGCCCGTTCGTCCACTCGGCGGAGGTGAAGTGCATTTCCAGCTGCCCTTTTTTTTGGCAACCTGCGTTTAGAAGGGCAAGAAAGTGAGTCAAAACATCTATGCAATTCGGAATTAAACAACACATGAAACAATACTGAAAGAGACGGGATCCCTTTAGGTCCGTTGCCGAAAAGGATAAAAGATTTCGACGAAGCTCAACAGTTGGAGCGTTTATCAGCTCAGATAACCGGCTACCTACTATTCTACCATAAATTTCAGATGAATCTAGTAATCAGCCTTGCACAGGGATGAGGACTTAAAGCTGAAGTACCCGAATTCGCTCGAGGAACTGCGTTGGTTAGTAGGGGTAAAGGGTTCTTGAGGGAACTAGAGCCCCATAGCCTCGCTTCGAACCTTCATGCCAAGAACCCTCGCGACGATGGCCATTTGTGAAATGGTAGACACGGAATCCATGAATATTATCGCCGAAATATTGTCCAGCATATCTGTCTCCGTTCCTGTAACAACAGCATATCATTGACACAAGAAAAATCAGGGCATGAGCACCAGAGCAAAAGATACTGTTGAATAATTAGCCCAATGGTTATGGTCTCTATCGTCCTCAGATCTTCCAAGTTGAAAAATAAACAGAACACCCAGCATATGCGTGCGCTTTTGTGTGTAGATCATCAACCAGAGCCCAGAGCACATGATGATGAACATTCACTCTTCTATAATCTTGAGAAATCATATCCAAAATCATTGAGGACACACATATCCTGAGGTTGAATCCTTTGGGGAAAAAGCCCCAGATTTGGACATGACAGGATAAAAACGATCACAAACTTCCAGATCACAAGAGAACCTATCTAATTTGCTCAAACAACAAATTAACCATACCACCTGTCGCAGACCTACACAGATAGAAATCAAATTGTAATGTCCTATATCTACAATCAAAAGAGACTGAACCCAACAAAAAATAAACATGATCACATCCAAATCAGAGGCAAAGAAACATACACAACAAAGAACAGAAAAATATCTTCACCTGAAATAGTAACACCCAAGTCCATGGTTGACCCCAGACTTGAATTCCCCAACATAGCAGCTTCCATCAGCACAATTCTGCACCCCAACCCCATGGCTCTGCCCTTTACATCACTCTCCAGCATATGAATCCACCCAGTGTAAAACGTATACACGCCAAACCTGTGCCGAAGCCCATCCCAATGCTGCCAGTGCTACTGGCTCCTACAAGCCAAACTCTTGATCCCGTACCCGTCGTACTTGCCTTCGATCCAATCCCCTTCTTATCACCCATTGACGAAGTAAGCACCCATCACTCCCATTGCACCTCCTCTTGTGGAACTCGCCCTCGTTGTAATCCCCTTTGCTGTAGAACTCCACTCTCTCACAGATTATTTTCTTCTTTTGCCTCATCGTGGCCTTGGCATCATTGCACTTGAGTTGCCGCCAATGAACCACTGGACGCCCCTTGCGTTGCCCCGCGCGAATCCTAGCCTCTTAGTTGAGGCTGTACAGCTGCTTAATCCTCAACAGGTTGCACTCAATCTGGGGCTTGTTCCTGGAGACAAATAAGAGCGTGAAGGCAACAAAGATGAGGGCCAGGAGGAGGTCCTCCAAGTCCGTCATTGTCGGGGCTGCGTCCCGCCTGGAATTGAAGAAGCAGATGAAGACAATGGAGAAGGCCAGTGAGGCGATCCGACCGGATCAAGCCGGTTCCGGTGGGGCAGCCGCCTCCTCACCTTCTGTACCTCTTAAACCGAATCACGCTGCTGCGACTGGTGTTGGTGCTGATAGCAAGAAGGGAGCAAGTCGTCCTCAGCAACAGCAGAAAAGTTACGGATGGAAGACTGGACGGTCAAGACGAATGGAGAAGCAATGACTTTGATCTGGTCAGCGCTGATGACTGGCTCTTCTGTCCCTCCATTGTGGAGCTCACGTTAGTAAAGTACTATACGGTTTGCCAAGTATGGGATGTTAACAATGATAAGCAACGGAATGATCATTAATCGATTTTCCTGTAAAATGCTAGAGCTACGGAAAATTTGAAGGACTCTGCTTTTTATGCCATGCATGTGGCGAAAGTCTTTGCAGCTAAGAGTTCAATGTTGTGTAGATCTCTTGTGGTTTGGGCAGCGCTTGATCATTGGATACAAATATGTGAACCTGATTTCCCAATTCAATCCAGCTACAGCCAGCTTGCTTTTCTGCTCCACTCCCCATTATCGATATCCTTGCCTTCTCCGCTTCATCCCAATTGCCAACCTCGGCATTTATGTTGGATGTGAGTACATAGTTTGAGGTTTTATTGGATTCAAGTTCTGAGAGCTTCTCAGCCGCTAATTTGGCAAGTCTTAGATTCTGGTGCTTCCGACAAGCTCCGAGCAGCGCACCCCACAATCCAGCATTTTCTTTAGTCTCTGCATCACAAGCAATTTCAAATGCTTCTTCAATTTTTCCTGCTCGAGAGAACAAATCCACCATGCAAGAATAGTGTTCAGCTAGAGGTTTGATGGCGAACACTTCCGTCATTTTTCTGAAGTATTTTGTTCCCTGATCAATCAGTCCGCCGTGACTGCAAGCAGATAAAACTCCGATAAAGGTCACCTCATCGGGAGTAACCCCTTCCAGAAGCATCTGTTCAAAGAGCGCAACAGCTTCATTTCCATGACCATTCCAAGCATATCCAGTGATCAGGGAATTCCAAGAGATAACATCAGGATTGTCCATAGTTTCAAACACAAGTTGAGCGAACATCATATGTCCGCATTTAGAATACATGGCGATCAAGGAATTGCAAACAAACAAATCTCCAACATAACCACTTTTTATTACAAGTTGGTGAAGTTGCTTGCCCATCTGTACTGCAGCAAGATGGGCACTAGCACTGAGTCCACATGCAAAGGTTGAATAATCAGGTTTTATTCCCGTCTTACACATGCACACGAAACTCTTCAGAGCATCCAAATATAAATTGTTTTGAAGGAAACCTGTTATCAAAGAATTCCATGAAACTATGTTTTTCTCTTTCATTTCCCTAAATATTGCAAATGCACTGTCCATTTGTCTAGCTTGAGCATAACCTGCAATCATAGTATTCCACGTTACTGCATCTTTCTTTGACATTTGATTGAACAGGTCCAAGGCTTTGTCCATCCTTCCAACTTGAGCATATCCTGCAATCATGGTGTTCCAACAAACAACATCACGGGTTTCAATCTGATGGAACAGTTGACCAGCCTCATCCATTCTCTGACTTTCCACATATCCATGTATCATTGCTGTTTGGGCTGCACTGTTTTTGAAGGGCATTTCTTCTAAAAGGTGTCTTGCTTTGTCAAGATTACCAATGCGAACAAATCCATTAATCGCAGTAGTCCATGACACAGAGTCCCTTTCTGGCATTTCCATAAACAGGCTCATGGCCTCATCCATTTGACGGTTATTGATATACCCTGCAATCATTGCATTCCATGAAACCGTATTCCTCCTAGGCATTTCGTCAAAGAGTCTCCTGGCCTCCAGAACCCTTCCGTTTTGCATCAACCCACATAAAATAGTGACCCAAGAAACAACATTTGGGTCTGGAATCTTTCTAAAGAAGTTCCAAGCAGAGTCCATGTCGCCCAGCTGAACAAATCCATCTAGCATTAAATTCCATGACACAATGTCTCTATCCACCATTCCATCAAAAAATCGTAATGCCGAACGCATTTCCCGATTCTTTGTATACCCCGCAAGCATCGAATTCCATGAAACTAAATTCTTAACCGGCATCTCATGAAAAAGTAGCTTCGCCTCGTCGAATTCGCCCTTCTTCGCATAACCCGCTATCATGGCATTCCACAGAACAACATCTTGCTTATCGGGAACCAAATCGAACAGCTTCCTCGCCCTCTCAAGCTGCCCGCTCCGCACAAAGCACGTTACAACCAAAGCCCACGTATGACGGTTCCTCTTGCGCATTTTCTCGAACAGCTGGTAAGCTTCCTCGGTCCGATCATTATGCAGGTACCCGGCGATCATGGTGTTCCAAGAAACCAAGTTCCGGTGCGGCATTCCGTCGAACAGCTCCCGGGCATCGCGGATTCTGCCGTTCTTGGCGTAGACAGAGATCATGGAGTTGTACGTCACGGTGTTCTTCTGGGTCATACTGGAGAAGACATCGATGGCTTCTTCGACCCGGGCCGATCGACCCAACTGGGTGATCTTCGAATTTTGGTCGAAGAGGTGGCTCCCTTGCTCTCCCAAGGCCCTCACTGCCCTTCTCATGATGCGATGCGAATCGTGAGATGTTCATAGAATGATTGTACTGCTCGCAAGCTAGTCCTTAACTAGCTCTGCTGCACTGACATCACTGACGCTCCGAGGCTCTGTTTTTTTGGCTCGTTGGAAACATTTCTCTATAAATAATTGAATATATTGTTTGAAATAATTTATCAATTTAAAATATTTTTATTATCGATAATAATACATGATTAAATATTATTGTTGATGATAAAATTATTTTTCATTCGTGCGTTCTTGTAAGCGGCACCAAGTAATTGTTTTTAAAAAAATATTTTCTAAATAATTTATTATTCGCAAAACAAACGTAACCTCTTCTTAAGAAGTTGTTTACCTCGAAATAATCAGAGCATGCATGAAGATCAAGCGAATTTGGAAAATACAATAAAGTAAGCACAAGCATCTAACCAAGACTTTTGAACTTTCAGAACGATATGATGTCTTTCAGTTGCTTTCATGTGTTTCCAACTAATATAAGGCTTGAAACGGTGAGAATGTGCTCGTAATGCGATTCACTTGAGACCATACAGCTACAATTAAACAGGGGCATTGTTAACCAGTGTCGCCGAAGCACTTGTTAAACATTCTTAATGAGAAAACATTCGATTTTCAAAATATTGATCGTGCATAATACGGAAATTGCAATTCTGGAAACGAGGACCGCACGCCACTTTTCCAGTACTTAACGACGATAGCCATACTCAAACTGCCCTGCAAATCAATAAGCTTAAAGGGATAAAGATGCATTGAAGCAGCATTCTCCTCTTTGAAAAATAATGAATAGTTACGTCGGAGTGAATTTAAACGCGCGAAATAAGTTCAATATGGGCGTCGTGCGCAAATAATAATAGGATCGCGTTTCTAATGACCATTAGTGTATACATGTATGAACCCACTGGACGACTGGACGACCCTTCAAGATAGAGCATAACATAATGCCTCAGCACTAAGACCTTTTCCAGCAGCAGCAGCAGCAGCAGCAAGAAGATGAATAAACTGTCCGCTACCTCCCAGAGTAATCCCCAAATTTCGTTCGAAGCTCCATTCGCTTCTTAAAGGAAAGAAAAGAAAGCTACATCACTTGAAACAGATCAAGTTTCCCACTTGATTTTGTTTGCATGACATTTGATTATATACGCGCTATCCTCTACCTCGAAGCTGTCCAGAACTCTCTCAGTAGTTTTGATTATATACGCCTCTGCTGTACCGGTTTAGCCTTGTGGTGCCTCAGTAGTTGCAGGCGACAGATTTTCCAGCCTCTTCGGTCTTCAGTTGTGGTCCGGATCTGCTACTTCTTGTGCAGAGGTAGCACCGGCGGATTTCCCAACAAGGGCACCGTTCTCGGGATCCTTCTCACAACTTATGAAATGACTGTCTAGATCCTCGGACGTCTGAAGCTCTCTATCATGACCTGCTCGGGCTTCTTTCTCATTGAAGTGATTTCCTGTTGCGGCCTCTTCCTGGTTCTTTCCAGACGTTTTCTCTTCAGAGGCAGTTGATAAAGAGGACTTCTGTTTCCCAACTAAGTCACCTGCTTTTACCTGACGAATGGTGAAATCATAACATATGTGAAAGAATGCAAACGCTTTGGAAAGCAACTGGGTGACACTTCAAAATCTGATTTTGATGCTAAAAGGCTAAGGCAGTGACACTGATCGGAGAGAATGTTTATCAAGGAAAGAGAAATAATCACCCACTGTTCAGGTAGTTGACCCTTTCAGAAAAATGCCCAATCACTCTTGTAATCTCTTCTACTTTTACACCTTATAGCAACATAATTTGGGTTCATGTTGGAAAAATAACTCTAGCAAAGACGTAGCTGGCCGAGACCTGATGATGAAAGCTCCTAGTGGCTCAATTAGTAGGTGAAGTGTAAGATTACCTAGAAACAGGCAAAAGATGTACAAAACGTGATCTTTAGCAACAATTTAATGAAAGCTTACTTAGTCTCGGGACTACCTCTTTTTTAGGCCACTTGCCATCGAAAATCCGCCATGTAAGACTGTCAACTTTCCAGTGCTATTGTGGTGCAGAACGTTTTTCAAACATTCCTACTAAGCTGAAATAAAAAACTAGGGCATCTAAATATAGTGGTCTAAGACCACTCAGGCTTTTGTTGTGAATTTTCGTTGTTAGGAAACAACTGCATTAGATTATTATCCCATTGGCATCACCCATCGAGTGCAGCAAGTCAAACAGATTGCAAAACACGTGAGGTTTGAGTACCTGCAGTGGCTTCATCACATTAGATTCTCGACCATCATTTTGCCTGACCTCATCTTGAGCTTGTAGCTCCATAGAATCTCGAACAAGCTGACTCAGAAATGTTACATCGTCGGACATCACACCAAGCCCTTTCAAAAGCTTAGAGCCAAGCTGTAAACTTGTCTGCAGGAACAAATGAAACTCGACTTAAATTAATTTCTCGCACTATAGTCAAGAGCATACAAATTCATAAGAAAAAAGTATATTAGTAGTTACCTCAGACTTTTCTAGGATAGCATCTGTAGCTCCTGCTTTCTTCAAATCCAGAAGATGCGTAACGTCTTGGGCCCTCGCGTAAATTGGAATCTGAAGTGAAAAATGAGATAACTACTAAAGTGAGACAAAGAATTACCTTAACTTGAGAAGTGATTACAACAGGCAAGCACAATATAGGTAGAAATTATATGATGTCCACAAACCGAGAACTAGGAGGAACGTATATTGAAGAAGCTGACCACATATATGATATTGACATGAGAGTCATTGTCACTAAAGATCCAGAAATTTTTTTTCTTGTTCCTTGAAGGCCCCCATGTTCATGAATTAATTTGATTTCAACCAACATAGAAAAAGAAGAGGGGCCTAATTCCTCCATTTAGAACTCTGAGAGGCTAGGTACACATGATTGGCATTCCTCTTCACAAAAGTCCATTAACATCTTCTAGAGTGCCATCGCTTTAAAGCAACATGATCTAAAATACCGGCTTTGCACTTGTATTATAAGGGCGTAAGAATAGAAGGTAGTACAAATAATTATGTAGGCGTGGACTCGGACAAATCAAATGCATGCACCTAAAAATACATGTAGAGAGAGAGAGAGAGAGAGAGAGAGAGAGAGAGAGAGAGAGAGAGATTACAGCTGGGAAGGCAAGTCGAAGCCTTTGAACAGCCTCTATCGTTCTCTTCCGTCCAGTGTACATCACCATGACAGCTTTTGGAGAAGCAATTCCAGCAGATTGCAACACAGTTGGACGTGATCCATCTCCGTAAAGAATAGGAAAACCAAGCTTTCTAGATGCCTGAGAGTTCAAATAGAAGATGAATTAACCTAAAAAATTATCAAAGCAATACTAACTTCAGTATGTCAAAAGATTAATTAATTAAAAAAATTATCAAAGCACTACCAACTTCAGTATTTCATTCCGAAAAATGGAAACTAGTACATCAGTAAGAGACAAATCCAATAGGACAGAAGTTCACTAGTTTCCTTCTGATGAAAATCGCAAAATTGAAGATATCTCGAAAAAGAGAGAAACATGACAGGATTTTCAGACACCAGCAAATGTGGATCTAAGTATATGACCTGAACAAGTACAGCAAACACCAAGCAGCTGCACAAGCCCAACAGCATTTACCAAAACGATTTCCCTTTCAATGGGTAACGTAGCATCTAAATTCAATGGAATCGTTTGATCCTAAAGACGAACGATCCTAAAGACGAACTTCTAGAATTCCACGGAGGATGTGCCATTTCTTGGTTCCATCTAGTCATTAATTTGAAAATTCTTCCAGTTTCACTCTCCTAAGGGAAGTTACAGTTCATCCTTTCGGATATGTCAAAGTCAGTATCTCTGGCTGCGGTCCGAATTTCCTATGCAAGGAAAATCCACCCTTTCCAGTGAAAAATGTGTTTCTTTATGATCCTGAAGCAAAAAGCGGACAGATGAATATATGCATCCGATGGATCTATTTGACCATACGAACATTCCCAGTATGTCATTCACAATAAGCTTATAATTATATGGGCCCTCAACAAGTCCAACTTGTAGATCCCCAGGGCCCCCCTTTGGGTCCATCCTTGCTCTTTGGCAACTGGAGAGGCAACAGAACACTCCACCCCCCCCCCCCCCCCCCTCCCCCCTCTCCCTTCAAGAGCAGCCTGCTACTCTTTATCTAGTTCTCTTTCCCTCTTTTCTTTATTATTTTAATTGAAATAGCTTTCTAATACTTTATTTTGGTTTTGGTTTTCTTTTCCCTAATAATAAAAACTGTCATATCAGAACATCACATCGGCATACTAACAGTCTAGCAAAGATCATGCAAGTAAGAAGGCTGAATTGACAGAAAGGAAATCCGGATGACAAGTTACACAAACAGTACAAGTTAGAGCACCAAAAGTGAACTTATCCCAATTCATTTTGAGTGGAAAAGCTAAAAATGTTAGTGCTCATAGATACTACATTACTTAATCAAGACAACAATACTGTTACGTGATTGTCTTGGATAGTTTATTTATTAATTGCAGAAACTATATTAATCAGCTATTAGCTTTGACAGTACTGAAATCTATGTTTGACAGTCCTCTATTTCCTTCTTCAAAACAGTATGTGAAAGTCCTTCAACGACTGTTAGGCTTGATCAGCTTTGTGTTAACAGCCTTCTTATTTCATCAGGGAAATTATGAAAAGGTAACTAACCTTCACTACAGCAGGATTGAGATCAAAAGCAACATAAGGCCAACCAGACAGGTCACCATCAACTCCAGAAGCCAACGGAGCTGACAAGAAATTGGCAAGGACCTGCATGGATAGAATTTATAACCATGGTGTATAAAAGCAGCCGAAGTGGTAATTTAATCAAAGGAAGAACTCGATGCCCAAATCATACCTGACCCATCTGTCCGAATCCAAGAATCACAACAGGATCCCTAGCATCGAAGCTTGCAATCTCCATGACTTTCTGCAAGAATACACGTAAGAGTTAATCTGCAGCACAACCTGCGAAATTCCATCAGTGAACTAAACAAGCTAGCCCAGGCTATCCATTCAGCTGACTAGCGATTTGTGTTAATAAAACCATCGAGACTGGAGTTGGCAATCTGGCAGGTTG